CTCTTCGTTTTAGCCCAAAATTGTTGCTATTTATAATATCAATAATATAGTTCAAATATATATCTCTCGAAGAACAACTAAATGGGACAAAAATAAAAAAAAAGACAGAAATCAACTTTTGAATAGGATGAGGGAAGGAAAGTGAGGTATCATATACTCACATATGTGGTTTAAATAAATAGTGGTGCCTAGACAAAATAAATAATATGAAAAAAATCGTGGACGTTAATTTACAATTTCGGCATATTGGATTGAGTCCAGGTACAATGTAACTAGCTAAGTATGCAACTGATTGGAGAGATATATGGGATTTTGGAGTCCAAAATGAGACTTCACAATCAATCGAGAAATGCTACCTACTTTACAACTAGATTGACAATAAAAGTAAAAAACATTCACAAAAATAAAAATAAAAAAATATACAAGTGAATGTTTCCACTTGTATTGTCAACCTAGTTGTACACTAGGTTGACTATGGTTATATTTAGTAAAACTGGCTGATAAGCTAGCTTATAGCTGATAGCTGATAGTTCATTAGTAATTTTTTAGCTCATAGCTTATAGCCTAGCTTATATGATAAAAGTGATAAGCTAGCTGGAATAAAAAATTCAACTAGCTTATTTGAAATGCTACCTAAAAAAATTTATTAAATAAGCTCGAGTTTTTTAAAAAATCTCGTCCTACCAAACGAGACTTATTCAAGTAAGCTATAAGCTAACTTATTTGTCTACTAAACATAGTCATGTATCATTTTTCCGATCACAATTCTGCCATTTCTGAATGGGGTTTAATTGCGAAACCTACCCCTAATGCTTGCCCTAACTACAGATACTACAACCTACTAAAGTTTGGATTCTATTATTTTACACAATATATCACTTCTAAAACAAACAACTACTAGTACAACACCCGTATATTACACGGATGCTTGTTAAAAAATTATTTTAAATTTTAAAATTAATGAGAAAATTATTTTAATTCTTATTTACATTTTTACAAAAAATATATATTATTATATATTTTAGAATGCCACTTGTTACTTGTACGAATTACATGTGTTATATTATAGTAATTTTTGTAACTTATATCATATAATCACTTGAAATATAAATGTATTAATTGATAAATGTAGTTTTTCTTTGTGTTTTGTTGTGTTAGGTGTCTAGTGAGTCTTGTTTTAGGTTGTTAGCGTTGCTAGAGTCGGGATTCTAGGCGGTCGTCAGACCTGTCCTCTCATTTTATTCAGCTTTTGGTTGTCTTTTCTTCTTCCGTTGGGAGCTTTGTATTTTTATTCGCGCTTTTGTGCGTTGTGGTTTATAATAGATCCTCTATCGTTCCGACAAAAAAAATAAATAAATAAAACTTTATTTTTAATTAATACTAAAAAATAATTTTATTATTGTTATAAAGATATATAATTTACTTTTTTTATACATACAATAGAGATGTTAAATTGAAACTCATCAAAAGATGATTAATTTGATATATTATATATGTAAAACTGATAAAAAATTACAAAAGTTATTAACTTTTAAAATACGTTTACATTTCAATAGTTATAATAAGGAATAATATTAAAATGTAATTAATACATGTAACATGACCATAAATAATCAACATATTTATGGATAATCCAAACCTAATTATTTTTGGATTGGAAGTAAATTAAAATTTACCCAAGACTAATAATGAACCATGTAATTTTGCCAAATAAAATCCCGAAACATGCGAGTCTGTCAATTAAGTTCAACTCGTTTTGAATTAATATATAAGAGATAGGGGGATTAAATATTCTCATTAAATTTTATCATTCATACGAATCATTTTTATATCATCATTTATATCAACAAATCATAAGTAGCATATTCTTATTTTTAGGGAATAAGTAATATTTATTTTCTTAATTGTAATTCATAGAATGTTATACTTTCTATATTATAAATTCTATTATTTAAAATAAATTTGTCTTGGATTTTATAGAATTTTCACATGTGATCAAACAAACGGACTTGTACGCAAATATGTACAGCGTTGTACATTTTTGTTTCTTAAAAAACCCAACAATGAATTAATTGTAAGAAATATTTCTGTGTTACTTCTATAATTTAAAGTTGTAATATTATTATTCTAAATTATAATAGAATAAAAGAAAACTTTTAAATAAACGTAGAAAAAGAAATGTCCCGGTCAATGTTGGGTGGGATGATGCTACAATAGGATCTATCTATGCCTGACTTGAATATAAAACCCGGGCTTATTGGTAAATGCTGTAGATTACTATTTAATATTTATAACTTAAGTGGAATAATTTGTTATTATTATTATGAAGACTAACTAGCATTCCATCATATTCACATGATGCATATAAAAGTTTATATAGATAAGGAACATGTGCAATTTATAAATTTTATCACTAGTAAAAATAAATTATGTAAAATAAAAACTATTTAAGTTATATATTAATTTCTATATTGACTGTAATAATATAATTTTTTCAATTTTGGTAATTATGGTCAATTAATTTGATAAAATAATATTAAAGTCACTATTATGACAATTGTATACGGAGTTTTAAATGGATTAGTTATGCCATAATAAATAGTCAACTAATTTTAATAAAAAACTTGTTTAATGAGTTGAAAAAATTAAAGAATTAATAATTTAAATAAATAGTTTGAAAAAAAAGTTTTAGAAGTGAATATCATTTATTGTGACTTTATGATTACTTAGTAATAGTTATTATGTAATCAAAAAAATATAAAATATAATTATTTGATTAATACAAAATAACAAAAAAGAGCAGAAAAAAAGTAATTGCTGATAGTGTCGGCCATCGTTGGATAACACATACCTACACAGGTGTGCATCAATCGAACGGTAAAAAACTGGATGACGATGCCATGTATTTAAAAAAATTTATGAAGACTCTAACTTTTACAAATTCATAATAAACTAATGATTGAATACTTGTATATATTGTCAATTAGGTTACGGAATTTTATAGGTTGTCTATGCTCCGAAATTTGCTGGTCGGGTAAGTTTTAAGGTGGTAGGTGTTTTTACAATAACCAATGAAAGCAGCACTCAACTTCTATATAATTTTAATAATTTTGAAAATTATTTTATTTCAATTATCGAGTAAAAAAAGTTGAAAAACATAAAATAGATGTTAAGAATTAGAGTTGAGATTCATAAGCCAAAATGTTCTCATTTTTTGACCATGTAAATCTCAGAACTTGGAATTTCATTGGTTATTGTTACTTTGTATCTGGACTAAATTTAGGTTGCACACATTTACTAGTAATAACTAATGAAAGCCACTCACAATCTAGTCCAGATTCACGAAAATAATAGTTATAATTAAATAGTTTTGCCAGTTTTGCTATGGAGTCATCAGATGATACTCCTTATGGAGTCATCCAGTCTTATTAACAAATAGCGTATTGACTATCTTACAATAAATACAATTTAGACATGTGTCAATACATTAAGTAATTAATGACTCCATAAGAAAACCTTCGAGGCGCCGAACCTCCTTCTCTTCCAGCGCCTCGACCTCCTTCTCTTGCAAGGCCTTTTGGAGGTTGTCCGCCGATAGGTTACGGTGACTACTAATTCTTAACCATAAATAGAATACTTAGATATGAGGATATTTGTTTGTTACTTTGACTTACCACTAGTACGTAACTCGTGCGATGCACAGACTGTACTTGTTTTGGAAAAATTTATATTTGAAGGCTATTAGTCATTAAGTCATAATACATAGAGCATTTGTTAGGTAATCGTAAAATGTACATCATAAAAAAATCATACATTATTATAAACTTATTTGTTTTTCCATGCAAAATTATTTTACACTTGACAACCATAGATCGATATTTACCAAGATTGTTCTTCACTTGTTAATTGCGAATTGCATAGACACATCCTTCCTTCAATGTTTTGTTGATTTTCGGAATGTTACCATCACAATATAAAACTATAGTGAAAATATGTAATATTATGATAAATACTAAAGATATGATTTTTCTGATAAAGTTTACATTTATATAAAATATAAGAAAAGTTGTTACCTTAAAGTGTGGATTTTGAGTATATCTTTTTTTTTTCAATCATTTTCATTTTTTATGCCAAATTCATTCCAATATTAAGAAGAATTTTGTTTTATTATGTTTTAACAGAGATTTAGAGCATTTTTGTTTATAAGATTTTTCAAAAAAATTCCAACATTTTAACTCAACCACTTTTTTTAACTCAACCCCACTATCATCAATATTATCAATATAATTAAATAATATCAATCAATCAATCATACACACCACATCAACTTTAATTCACTATTCATCTACTCACATTATTTTAACTAACTATCACTTCAAATCATCTTTCTCATACTTTTACATCAAATCAATTTTAATTATTTTATTTTAAATATTATTTTAATATATCCACTAACATCTCTCATACTACATTTTTCAAAATAACCAAACCAAATCAAAAAATCTAAACAAAACTAAAACTTTCCATAAACAAACATGCTCTTAGAATTTTGATTGTATCTTGTGTAAAACAATATTTACAAAAATAATTAAGTTAAAAAAAACAAACATGCTCTTAGAATTTTGATTGTATCTTGTGTAAAACAATATTTACAAAAATAATTAAGTTAAAAAAAACAACAATGATATTTTATCATTTGTAGCTCAAAACTAACTAAATGAATCGGAGGACATGTAAGTCACGGTTTTTAAATGAAAAAAAAAATGTTTCATAAATAAATTGATAAAAAAATGATTCAAAATGATAAAAAAATAATCGTGATATTATAAACAAAAAGATGTTTACGTGACTAGTCAAATAGTGAATCGAATATTGTGATAATTCTAAAAAACATGTTACCATGGTTGAATGAAATCTTTTCAATATTATTTACATTTAGTTAAGTTGCATATATTGCATAACTATATGTGAAAAAAATAAAAAATTTTAAATTCAAATATGTGATTTATATATATAATAAATTAGTGTACAGTCCAAATAATTCAATTTTATTTAGCATTTATATTATTAATATTGATACCATGATTATTGTAAAGTTCAACTCTCATTTTTACGGCAAATTTATATTATATTAAAATGAATTGATAAGTCTAAAGAGAGATATAAATTGAATTAAAATGATTGAATCGTAGTTAGATTATTTGATTCTATAATTGTACAACTTTTAAAAAGACACTCTATAATAATTTATTCCATAATAATACTGTTTTTAAATATAATTGATTCCAAACATCCGGATTTAGTATTTAATCAAATATTATGGAGTATCTTTTTAAAACAATAAATCCGATTGTTAAGGGAAGTTAAAATTGATTTCAATTAATGCTTCAAGACTTGTTTTAAGGAATTGGGTAAAATTACTATAATTATGATGTAATTAATGCATAATGGCGAGAAATGCTTACGATATTTGATTTAAGTTAATTCTTATTGTATATATATAGATGAGTGAGAACCACATTTGTTCATTATGATTCGTATCTTGGGCAATGACTGTTTATCCTATTTTTGTTACTATTTTCTCTATGTGTTTGCTACTTTATTCCTCATTTTTCACGTATTTTTATAGGTATTTCGGTCCGCCTATGCGAATCTTGTGTGTTTTATTTTTATTTCATATTTTTTGTGTATTTTTTTGTTGTTTTGTTTGTTTTTCTTTTGTGTTGTAGGAGTGCAAGTCCATGTGTTTGTTTTTCTCTATGTGTTTGTTCGTTTGACAATAGCTCAATCAGTCCAAATGGAGAGGTATCCATACCAAAACAATTGTGTTCCAGACGTGTGTGCCCATGTCACGTATCAGTGCCACCATCCTTACCAAACAATCCCTGAGACTCATTGAGAGAACTCTCGTAGGAGACGAGGCTAGCCGTATGGCAGGTGACCAGCCACCGAACCACGAGTCACACACGTGATGGGCCTCGCGCGCAGGCATCACTCCCGCAACACGATCGTTCCCTCGCGCGCGAGACAGACTCGCACAGATCAGTTGGGTACTCTGTACAGTCGCGGGCGATCCTAGGTGATGCGTGTGAGAGCATCCTATCACTCGCATAAACATATTTAAGTCACTATTTACATTCATAAACAAATTACAACTATTATCTAAAATTAAAGGGAAGAAGAAGAGAAAGAGGAAAAGAAGATGAGAGGATGTGGGAAAGAGAAGAGAAAAAAAGGAGAACGAGGAATAAAGTTTAGTTTTTCTAAAAGATAACAAATATTTTGTTAGCAATATGATTGTATGGAAGTTAAGATAATGCATTCAAAAAAATATGCATGTGATATTTTTCTTTTTCTTTTTTATTTATACATATTCCGAAACGATAGAGATATTATATAACTAAAGACCGCACAAAGTGCGAAGAGAAAGCAGCCAAAACCTGAAAAGTACAACCAAAGGCTGAAAAAACTGGGAGGACAGATCCGAAGATCGTCTAAAGCCTGACCTAGCAACACTAGAATAACCAACTCGCAACTACACAAAATCAACTACACAAACACAAACGAAAAAACTATGAAACGATCCCAACAGGATAATGCCCGATTGTACGATCCCAATAGAACAATAAGCACACACTTGGACGCATAGAGGCCAACGACCCAAATAAAAAAAAACACGACCAAAACAACACAAACACAGACTCAAGACAAACGAAAACTAAATAACTATAAATCGATAGATTAGGTCCTTCCCCAGCCAACCAACGAGCCCAAGTCAGCAGAGAAACAATTGACCCAAGAAGATCCTAAGCCCGAGGAACCGCTACCGAAACTGCGAAACCGCCTATACAGAAGCCGAACCCGGGCCCCGAATCCATCCCAAATTAACCCGCCTCCAACCGAAAGAACAATGAACCAGCTCCCCACATCATCACTGCCCAAAATCAACTAACACCATTAGTTAATCTCGGGAGTTTTGGACCCCCGCCGTCCCCAACACCAGAGAACCGGGGGTGAGATCCACTCGGTTCCACAACTCTGACTTCCCCGATGCAAGACGTCGCAGCCGCCAGAGTCCCGCCCCGCCTGCTGAACCACTCGCATCCCAACTCTCCACAGACCGCCAGCGGTCAGAGCCCAAGCCCCACTAGGAGCCCCACTTGAAATAGCGAAGCCGACCCTAATAGCAGACCGATTGAAGATCGAGTACCCGCCGACGACCGAGGGAGAACCACCACCACCGCAATCGCATCCACGCCGGCAACCAAGGGCGGACCCCCAATCGCAAACACCAGAGAGAAATTGGAGACACGCGACGTCAGGGGCGGGCCGAGCGGTCAAGTGCGACCACTGGCCTGGGCCTCGCCAGTGGCGAGGAAGCCAAAACGACAGGGAAAGAAGGAGAAGACCGACGGAAGTGGGCTAGGGTTTTCTTTTGACAAGAGGAAGTCCGAATAGTTTGATATTTTTCTTTAAATATTTGAATTTAAATATTTTTAAAAAATCTTCAAAACACATTTAGGCGGGAGGAATCCTAATTATCTTTTTATTGCTATCTCAGAATTTTTTGAATTGTCTCTTTATATAATAATAGATTGGATATGACCAAAAAGATTACTTCTTTGAATAATTTTATTACATTTGCAATAATTTCATAAATATCCACTATAATAAACTATATATTGGTTTTACATGATTCATGCTAATAATATTTTGGTACAGATGAACATGAAAACTGATTTTAAGTTATAACTATAATATTAGTTTTTTTCATAAATATTGACATTTCACTCTAAAATATTTATAGAAAATCGTAACAAGTTAGGTAATTTTTTTTTTCAATTAATTAGGCGAAATCAAGTTGGTGAATTAATCTTTGTTAATATAATTTTTTTTCTTAAGTTTTAATTAATTATATAAAATATAAATAATTTTAAATTAATATAATTTACCATTAAGAGATAATGATCAAATAAAATAAATAGTTTTACTAATGGCTAAATAATAAAATTAAAATATATTTGCTATTCTTTAAAAGTTCAACATGTGATTTATTTATATATTATTACCAATCATAAATTTTTTTTACCATGTTTTGTTTTCATTTCTTACCATAATGAAATTATTGCAAAATATATTTTCAAACATAGTATGCTAAATAAACTAATAAACTAGGATGCAAATTAGAAAATATCTTGACTGTAGAAGTGATTTATTTTTGACAATTGCTAAATCAAAGATATTTAATTATTATAAAAGAATAAAATTCAAATGTACAATGGCAAACAAAATTTAGTAACATAAAAAAACATACATTGTGTTATTTGCCTTAATGTGATTGAGTCTTTTCTTTCTTATTTTACAAATTAATTGCTCTTGATGACTATTATATATATATATATATATGAGATTATTTTTGCTTTCTAATTATCATATGATTATAAATATCCAAAATTGTGTAGAATCACATGTGTAGAGTTTTTACAAGTTTATACACAATATATTATTTTAAATTTATTTATATAATTTTAAATTAATTATATTAATAGATAATACTAACATACATTAAATATTTTTTATTACATAAAATAAAAAGAAGAAGACTACTTATATAACTTTTATAAATAATAATAGTGATATTATACGACAACAAATTTTAGAATAAAATAATAATTGAGTATTATGTGGTGAACAATAATAAGTACAACTGTTATTTTTTATTATACTGAGAAATATATATATATATATATATATATATATATATATATATATATACTAAAATTAAATTTATGTAAGTATAAATGTTCTAGCGAAATAACACATCAATTAACTTAGAGGATTACAAACCCAAATTTAACGTTCTGGTTAGACAACTGTCTCGTGCATCGCACGGATTACACATTAGTATAATATATAAACACCAACATAATCTATAGGTATACTTTTAGAAAAAGTAAAATAAAATTTAAATTAAGTAGATATAAAATATAAATATAATAATTAAGACTGTTGTCATACAAAAGAAAAATACTAATTAATAACAATTGTTTTGTATAAATATACGTGATTCAACAATGATTTTTCTAAGAATATATATAGCTTGACTTTTATTATTTAATTGTATTAAATTGAAATCCATTATATTGTTAATGCAATAAAATATTTTTATTTTCATTTATAATTATAATAATAAATTTTACTTAACCAAATAAAGTAATTTTTTTTATATCCCATCGCTGCCTAGTGCCTAGTATTCAATGTATTTTCTGTTGGTGTGACCGTCTCAACTCGCGCAAGAGATTTGAGTAGAAAAAAGAGCAAGAATAAAGCCCCTCTTCTTGTCTGTACAAAGTAAGCGCCAAAAGCCAGAAAATGTGGCCGTACCAATTCTGAAAATCGAAACCGGAGATTCATGAAATTTTACGTGGATGTTTGTCCCTAAATTACGACTGAGAGCGTATTTCGATTTCGTCTCATCCAATTCTCCAAAATAAAGAATAAGTCGTCTCATATAGAAAATATTCCCTAAACCCCATTCTGAATAAACTCGTTGTCCTCATGTTATATATCCCTCAAAATTGTTCATCATTAAAACCCTTTGATTTTGTTTGTTTGTTAATTTTGTTTATTTTTCGTCCTAATCCCTCCTGTCCGTACCCTTAATTGTAATTGTGCACTGCTTTGTTCATTGTGTTGTGACGTATAGATTATAGAGCGTTCAGAGTCCGCATTTGCCAAAACGGGCAGCAGTGTCCCAATGTAAATCGATTCAAGACTTGTACTTTCTCTGTTTGTTGCTTGCTTTTATTTATTTTCATTTGTTGTTCTGCTAAATGTATGGTAATTACGGTTTTGGCTCTGTCAATGAGTTGAGGTTGAATTCTTGATCGGGTCTTTTTCTGGGATCGACTTTCAGGATACAATTTTTTTCTTGAGTGCAAAGATCCGGTCAATTTGTTTTTCTGGGCTCTGTCAATTGTTTTCTTGAATTTTGGTTTGATCTTTTCTGGAATCGAGTTATAGAATTGGACTCAATTGGTTCAATTGTCGTTTCAATGTCTCAGTGCTTTTGACGTTCTTTAGGGTTTTATTTAAAAAATGGCAGTTTCTTTTTGGTGATTGGTTCTGTTGGGTTTAGCTGTTGATCAATGCTATGTCACTTCTTGTCGGGTTGTCCGAATTCTCGATTTTCAGGAACCATCTTTAATGCACTTGAGGATATCTAGGAAATTTAGGTTAAAAGAATGTGAGCAAGTATAGATATTTACTTTAAATAAGAAAGTAGTATCTGATTTATTTAGTTATGTGGATGCATTGGTGTGATTATCAAATAAAAAAGTCACAACTTCGACTCTCTTATTTCATTTCAACATGATTCGCTCATTCTGGTGTTTAGGTTATAATTTTTTCCAGATACTTGTTTTGAGTAAATCATGGAGTTTTCTATGCTAAATTCGGTAACAGATTTAAATGTTAAAAGCAAGTTCTCGTGGTTGCTTAATTTTTCTTCATAGTCTCATATTCTATTTCTGGCTTTGCAGTTTATTAATAAACTCTTTGTTCGCGGTCTTCTTTGAGTTGAATACAAGTTGTAATATCGGGACATAAATGGATGATTCCTTTATTATATGTTTTGGTATTAATCATGAGGAAAATATGTTATGCTTCACTGATAGAAATAAATTAAAAGTCCGGATGAAGTTACAGTTCTTGAAGTGCTAACTGATGGTGTAACTTAGTCTTAGTTAATCGTTGCTCTTTGTGTCGAATTCTTGCTATTTCTTACTGTTTTTGTTAAATTTACATTAGACTGGTTTGTTTTGTGGCTATTCCCATTTCTTTTGTTTCAACATGCAGTGTTTAGTGACCATTAGCTTGTTCTAACTTGTTCACTCTAATGAATATTGTTTTCCATGGTTTTTTCAGAAATCAGTCATTTTCCAGAAATGGCCAATAATCCCCCGTCCTCTGGCATGCAGGTACTGCATTTAAGATGCTACGAAAATATTGTAACTGAATTTTCTTGTTAAGTTCCTGCTGTTAGTTCTTTAGCACGTGGTAGAGGAAAATGTACGATGAGAATGGAAGAGAGCTACTTGTATAGGGGACATATTTGTTAGTTGCGTTAGGTTTGAGCTCTTAATGTGCAGGAGATATTTGTTCCTTTGTCATTATAGTTGTTGGTTGATCGACCCTAGACCATTCCCGTTTTGGTTGGTACAGATAGACTTATGGAAAGATGAGTATGCTTTTGTGGTCTTGCACGTATCTGTAATATTCATGTTTCTAGGAGGAATTTCTTTGATATCTGACTATTTGAAAATGAGAATCTTTCATTAATTATACTGTATAAGGTCACAAACATAGTAAAGGTGTAGTGTATGCTTCTGAAATGCTTGAAAATGGCTTTTCGCGAATGCCTTTGATGCATTTTTTGTAAGTGTCTTGTCTTGATAAAATATATCTTATAATAATTTACCTTTTCATCCGTTTGAAATGTAATCTCAAATGTGCTGTTAAAGGATAGATGCACATCTAATGCTTCAGGTGTAATCTAGCGGATAATTGGACTAGATGAAATTGTTGATAATTAGATTTCTCCATTTTTCGATGCCTGTTTCTAGTATGTATTTATTTCTGAACGGTTTTATACTTGCTTCATATTTATCTATTTTCTTGCATCTTATATTTCTCTATTTTCTTGTATATGGGAGAAAAGCCTGTTCGACCTCCTATAATCGGCCATGTGGGTCCCCCTCCAAATCCCCCTCCTCCTATGTCGATGCAAGTAAGTTCTTCCAGTTTCTTTGTTTCAACCTAGGCGTTTGAAAGTTACTACAGTAAATAATTGTACTTACAATACTTACTAAGCATGCTTTTGTATTTTTCAGTTTCGACCTGTGGTTCTACCACCACCGCTGCCGCCATTTGTTCCGGTGGCTCCCTCACAGTTTCAGACAGGCGGACATTCAAACATGGGGATGCCACCTCATCCTCAGTATCCTCAAGCAGTGCCACCTCAGCAATTACATCCACCGCCAATTCAAAGGCCTGGGCCGGGTCAAGGCCCGTCACTCGCGCAGCCAGTGATGTCAGCTCACGTACAGCAGCAAATGTCTAATAATTTTGTGCCTAGTTATGGTACTTCCGGGATTTCTCATGTTACGTACACTGTAAGTAACTTATTAGTTGTTCATAGGTATAGTCTCAATCTCGGTTATATATTAGACTCAGAAAGGGAAAAAAAGGAAAGGCAAAGGAACTGCTAACTTTCATAACTGCTGTAAGTTGACTTGACGGAAGTTTCTAGCATCAGCAACCAATCTACATATTACCCTCTGAACTTTTCAGAATTTCATAAAGTAGCCTCAATTTTTCTCAGGCTGGTCGTAAAATTCGAAAAAGTTGTAGGATGTATACGGATTATGGAAAATGCAAAACAAAGACAAGTTGGGAGTATTTATACTATTTGGGAAAGTTGAAAGGATATATTTCTACAAATGTTTGATAAAACCTTAATGAATTTTAGTTCACTCTTAAGAGCAGGTAAATTGTAACTAAGATGCAACATCAAGGTGGTGTTTTGCAAATTGTCATTTCAATTTATTGTTATTTTTTTTTTCCTTCGGTCATTACGATTCTGCTACCTCAAGAAGGGTGTTGCTGAAGTCATCCCTTTGTTAGAATTGGTGTATGTAGCAAGTTGATCATTCATCTCCACTTATACATTGATTTCCCGTGTCTTAAAAAAATAATCAGGTGTTATCATCATCTGGTGGCCAACAACAAATGAATATGGGCCCCACAGCCCAGCAAATGCCTCTGCCGCAGACAGATGCTCCCAGTTTTGGACAACCTTGGTTTTCTACAGGGAATCAAAATGTGCAGTCTGTTATGTCCGTGCCACTAGTGGCTGAACAAAGCGGTGGAGAACAAGCATGGTTATCAAGTGGGCCCCAAAATATTAAGCCTGTGACTCCAATGCAGCAGAATGGGGAGCAAAATCATGCTGGGACACAACAATGGCTATCTGGTGGAGAGCAGAAAGTGGAATCTGGTGATTCTCACCAGACGGGGGAAAAAATTGCTGCCATGGTCTGTCTAATGAGAGTATTGATTGATTGATCTATTTGTTTTTCTTTCGTTAAATATCTTTTCCGTTCTGTTATGATACTTTGTGCTAAATATGAGATTCTTTGAAATGTTTCTTTTGATTACAGGGGAAGAATACTTCACCCGACCTAGCCATAAAGGTTCCATCAGATTGGAAAGAGCATACTACACGTGAGGGAAAAAAGTATGTCACTTATGTGAAAATTGTTGTATTTTGATCATTACCTTTTCTGTTTCTGATTCTTTTTTGTCCCCCTTAATAGTTACAGTTGTTAGATAACCATAGTCTTTAATATGCAGATATTATTACAACAAAAGGACAAAGATTTCTTCATGGGAGAAGCCTTTCGAGTTGATGTCGCCAATTGAGGTAGGTCCGAAATTGATCAGTGATTATGATTTGATAATACCTCTATTATGCATATATTTTTCTTGTCTGGCACTAGCTAGTCCTTGACTGTGTTTTCTTTTATGCTACTGTCTTTGCAAAGCCTCTCTTAACTTGCCAAAAGTAAATGCAAAAACATTTCATGTGAAAGTAAAACTCTTTTCTTACATCTTATCTGAATCAAGAAATTTTTGATGCTGCCTAATCAAGTGTTTATTTTGTTTAGAGGGCTGATGCATCGACAGACTGGCGAGAATTCATTGCTCCTGATGGAAGAAGGTATTTATTAGATTTCCCTCTTTTGCAGTTTAAAAGATCACAATTCACATGTCTAATTCATCTGCACAAAGTTTATGCTGAATCTTTCACTTCTACAGGTTTTACCATAACAAGGTCACCAAACAATCTAAGTGGCTTATCCCCGACGTAGTCAAGGTACTTTAATCTTACAAACCAAATAGATGTATTAAACAGTTATGGCCTTGGCTTTTCTTAATTCACATTAATTTTCTTGGTAGTTGGCTCGTGAGCGAGCAAATGCGGCCCCATGTGAAGGAATACCAACAGCAAATGATGTAAATTCATCTGGCCTAGAAGCATTAGCCTCGGTTGCAAATAACTCGTTTTTGTCGCCCCCAGAAATGGCGTCAAGCCCAGTTTCGGTGACACCTATTGGTAATCAAGATGGATCATCTAGCACACGTGATGAGGTTGATAACTCAAAACCAGAAACAAGCGAAATGAAAACTCCAAGGGAAACTCCAAGGAAAACTACACCAATGTATGCCATTTTCTTTTATAATTAATTTATGTTGGTTCATAAGTATCGTGTTGTGAGTGTCATAACTATGAATTGCATATGTATGCTGTTTTAGGAGAATATCTGACGTGTCACCTCAAGAAGCCCGACCATCTTCTGTGAGAAACTCTACAGGGAGCATTGAGGTACATATGTGGTCTCTTTAACCATTTCAAGTCTTTTTCATCCTCTATGGCATAAGAACTGCTTTCTATGAAAGGCATTTTAGGATAATGTAACGTAAATTATTTGAACTATTCGTCTGCAGGAAGTTGATAGAAGTTCAGAAGTATCTGGAGGCGCGGACAATAATGCGCTAGAAGAGAAAAGAGTAGATCAGGGACCTTTAGTCTATGAGAGTAAAGAGGTATTTCTGAATATCTATATATTAGTGTCATGATCTCTTTCTTTCAGTCTTTATTCTCCTTTCTCCCTCTTTAAGTTTCTATTATTTTATTTTTATTTTTCATAGGAGGCTAAGAATGCTTTTAAAGCTCTCTTGGAATCAGCAAATGTTGCATCTGACTGGAACTGGGACCAGGTCTGTTGTTTTTTGTGTTAAATTATAAAGTATTTTAGTTGGAAAATCTATGTAAGCAACAATTTATAAGCAGGCCATGAAAGTTATAATAAATGACCGGAGGTATGGTGCCCTCAGAACTCTTGGAGAGAGAAAGCAAGCTTTCAATGAGGTACATGTGATGCCTACTATTGTTTTGAAACTTGAATGTTCTCTGTTATTTCATCGTGAATAATTGCAACATTTACTTTCTGCTTTTCTTAATAGTATTATCAACTTTTTTCTTTTGAATTCCGTGTTTCAGTTTGTGGGACAGAAGAAAAAACAGGATGCTGAAGAGAAACGTGCCAGAAACAAGAAATCTAGAGAAGATTTTATGACAATGTTACAGGTACATTGATATGTTGCTGCATTTTTATGTTAGTTGGATCAAATTACATATCTTGAAAACTTCAGAATATGTCACTCCTCAAATTACTCTGGTCTCTAATGTGCCCAGGAATCTATGGAGTTGACATCATCAACAAGATGGAGGTTTGTGCGACTTGTTTTTATGAAACACACAAACTTGCTTGGACAGTGCAATTTTGTTCGCCGTCTTTCATTTTTATTGTTGTTGCCTTTGTTTTTATTCTCGATGGACTTCTCTTGCAGCAAAGCAGTAACTATGTTTGAAAACGACGAACGTTTTCAAGCTGTTGAACGAGTTACTGACCGTGAGGACCTGTTGAAAGACCATTTAGAGGAGCTTAAGAAAAAGGTAAAGTACTACTCCTGTCGTAATTGTATCTTGCAGTCTGTTTTGATCGCTGTTGATATATACAAAATGCTTCAAATAAAACCTATGGCTCTTTTTGCTAATATAATATATTCTTTGTCCTGATTAGGAACGGGCAAAGGCGTTGGAGGAGCACAAGCGTCATAAAGCAGAATATTTGGAGTTTCTAAAATCTTGCGACTTTATCAAGGTATGTTTGTCTGTCTTTTGTATTTCTACAAATCCTGTAAGTATTCTCTATGTCCTTGCTGCATGCTTATTTACCTTATTTACCCAGGCGAGCAGCCAATGGCGTAAAGTTCAACACCGCTTAGAACATGATGAAAGATTCTCACGCCTTGAGAAAATAGAATGCTTGGAAATTTTCCAGGTGATGTTTGATTACAAATTTACCCTTGTGGTTCAATCTAATCAGGTTAGATTAAAGAGAAACTGCTTGTCCTTTTGAAAGTACAAATAACCCCTTGACCTTTGTCTTTGCATAAAAGTAGCCCCCCTCTGAGCCGTTGTAAGGTGCACATTTGTAAATTAACAAAATTCAAATTGATTTTGTTAAATAATTAGTCCAAACTACAACAGTTACCATTTTTATATCTCTATAGAACTTGAGATCAAAGCGTTTCTAGCTCGAGAAAGTTATTAGGTTTGGGATTAACTAAATTTGATCTGGCATGTTTCAGGAATACATACGTGAATTAGAAATGCACGAAGAAGAAGACAGAAAATTACAAATCGTAAGCTGCTCTTTGATATGCCCTATTGCATGTCTATTTTTTATGCATATATTCCCTGTGTTTGCGCATGCCCCCCAAAAAAAAACCACCACTAATATGCATTATGACTGAAAACAGGAGGAATCGAGGAAAATAGAACGTAAAAATCGTGATGAATTTCGGAAGCTGATGGAGGAACATGCTGCAAGTGGCATTCTTACCCACCAAACTCTTTGGCGGGACTACTCCACGAAGGTTCTTTTTTAATAAGTTTGTTCTGTTCAAAATCTTTGTCATTTTCATAGTTTTGAAAATTGACATGATTTTTAGGTTAAAGATAATCCTGCATATGTGGCTGTATCTTCGAATACCTCAGGATCTAGTGCACAAGATCTGTTTGATGATGTTGTAGATGACCTTGAGAAACAGGTAGATGAAATTCTATTGCTCCTTTGGATTCAGTTTCTTATATATTCCTTACAAGCTGATCTTTCAATTCTCGAAGAAAATGAAAGTTCGGGCAGATCTTGATATTCTTGATCTCTTTTGTGGGTGAAACATTAGAAACAATGAAGTCGGGAACCACTAATATAACTATCTTCCTTTTTTCTTCGTGATTCGACGTGGATGATTGTTTGTTTGATCATTGAATTGCAGTTTTTGGAGGATAAGGAGAGCATAGAAGAAGCTATAAAGAACAAAAAAATATCCTTGTTAACGACTTGGACTCTTGAAGATTTCAAGAGTGCACTTTCACTTTCAAAAAATACTAGCACAAAACCAATATCAGATGTCAACTTAAAGGTATGCTTTCCTTTTAATTAATGGTCCTCTCCTGATGGAAAAAATATGCTTCTCAAACAATTTCGCATTAATAAAATATAGAGATGGGTTTGTTTTTCTTTTTCTGTCTCCATCATGATATCTATTCTTTTATATTTTCTTTTCTTTTATTTTTTTTTTTTGTTGACTGCTTGTTGACCTTTGTAAAATCTGACCTTTATTTGCAGCTTGTACTTGATGAATTATTAGTAATTACCAAGGGGAAAGAAGAAAAGGAAGCTATGAAGCGCAAACGATTAGCTGAAAATGTTCATGCTTTCCTTTTTTCTTTAAAGGTATTCTGTTGATTATCTATGATTTAAATGTTCTTTTGTTTAGAAGTTTTTTCTTGTCCCTTTATTATTTGGCCTATTGTAAGCAGGAATTATCGTCATCTTCAAAGTGGGAGGACTGCAAATCACTTGTTGAAGGGAGGTAATTGGTTATAACTGATCATTTTTGCTTCAAAGATACTATTATCTTATGCTAATCCTTTGTATTTCTCCTTTATGAAAGCCTCATTTAATTATAAAAATGAGTTTATACTTGCTTGAGATTTACGTATCGAGTTATGCTTGTGGACAGGTTCAACGGGCAAGAAAGCTTTTTCCGGGAAATATTTGATAAGTTCATTCTTGAACTCAAAGATAAGGCAAAAGAGAAGGAGAGGAGGCGTAAAGAGGAAAAGGTAGAAAAAATTAGTTCATGAATACTGTGTTTATCTATGCTAGTGAAGACGAGCAAACCTGATATGATATCCATGAACTGATATTTCAAACTTCCTCAGCAAAGCTTACCTATTGTTCCATGTTTAAAAATCACAAAACATACCCTCTAGGATTAGATCATCACATACACACTACACTAAAAAATAAATAAATAAATATATAAATAAATAAAAAAGAGCAGTTTTACTATTCAAAAAAGGAAATAAAAAAACTTTAATTTGAATTCCATAAACCATGTAAAGCTTCTCCCCCCTACTTTTGCAGGCTAAGAAGGAAAGAGAGAGAAGTCGTCGAGAGAAGAAAGAAAAGGATAGGAGGAATAAAGACAGAGGATCTCATGAGAGGAGAAAAGAGAGAGAGAGACACAAGACAGATGAAACTGATAGTGATGGGTCCGGGTCCCACGATTTGGAAGACAGCAAAAGGTCAAAGGAGAGAAGTAGAAGGCAACACAGGCAGCGCGTGCGGACCTTAGACGAGACGAATTTTGATGATGATGATGATAAAGAACGATCGAGGTCTCGTAAGCAGAGTGTAGATTCCAAAAGGTCTAAACAGGTACTGTTATATTATCGAGCTCTTGTCGGGTTTTGAATATGAAAACCTGTATGTGACCTGCGAAGAAATGGGTTAATTAAAAAAAAAAATCCGTTTAGGTCTGGTCTAATAAAAAAAAGCCTATTTGAAAATTACAAGGGTCAGTATGGAAACTTTCACTTAGGTTTGGTTTTGTGTGTACTTTTTTCCGCGAAGTGATAGTTGAGTTGATGGTTGGCTTGTATCACTAAATATTTGCAACATCCCTCGATTTTCTAGATATTGCAAATAAGTCCAACTTGGCTATAATTAGTGCAATATGCAGAAAAAGTTGAAGGATGAATTAGTGAAAAATCTGGTTATTTATAGTATTTAGAAAGTCTAAGAGGTTGAATATGATAAAATAAAAGTATTTGCTTCGTCTGCAATTGCATATGATCCACCAATGTCAAGTGTGCCATGTAAGATATATGTAACACAAAATTTGCAATTTTTTTCTTTTTTTAATATTTTTTTAGTTATTATTCGGTTAACCCTCAATGGTAGTTCTTGTCAGTTTTATTTCAGTTAACAAATTACTCCTCGACAGGAGGTGTTTGTTTAAGTAAATAATAACCTCGCTGTATACATGCAAATATGCAATATTGGAACTGGTATTCATATTTTTTTTTGTACTTTCTTCTATGTGTGACATTTTAATCCTATAGAAAGAGAAGGATGCTGAAACGGGTTCCGAAAGCCAAAGCAAGAGACATAAGAGGGATCATCGAGATGCCTTTGTTAAGATTACTGAACATAACGAAAGCAAAGATGGTGAAATTGACGAGGATGTCGAGGTAAACTAGCACAGTTTATATATTTTGAGATGGTAAAATATATACATTTGTCTGTGTTTGTTTGGATCATTTTTTATTAAGAATTCTCTCTCTATTATATAAATACATAGTTTCTACATATGGTCTTCACAACCTGTGGAAGGTTAACCTGAAATTAGTATATAGATAGATATTTTAAACTTTGCTGGTTGTTGTATACAGTTTCAGTTTCTAGATTCTAAACAGAGACCGAAAGTTCAAGTGGAAAAGGTTTTCTAGATTCTACATGTTTTTCTTGTGTTAGTTGAATTTTAAAACATAAGAAGCTTCTAAACGTGTTTACGTGTGGATCCATTGTATTTGAACTTTTCCTTTTTCCTACTTTTCTTTTTAAACTTAAGTTTTGGTCCCGGTTGACCATTGGGCGGGAAAAGTTGACCTTTTGATACTTAAATCAATGTTAAATGAAGTGGTGACTGGTTGGTCTCATGACATAACATAGGACGTCCTACATGTTGGTTTGAAATCGGTAAACAAATTATTTTTTACCCATATATGTTTCAAATTATTGTACATAGAGGTGTACATAACATTCACATTGAGTGATATCGACCAAAAATAAAAAATTAAGTGGACTTTTCTTCACGTGAGTGTTATGTACACCTCTATGTACATTTATTATATACTTGTAACATTTTTCTTGATGAAATGTCGGTTTATAGATACGCATGACTCATGTACCAAAACAAATACCAAAAAGTTAATTTTATGTTGAAATTTTAAAACTGATGAACGAACAATAATAATAAATACTTTCTTTTGTTAAAATAATGTTTAATAACGTATGATAATGATTTATCAAAAGATGAAAGGAAATGCCTTTTCCTCATAGCAAAAATTCTATGGAGCCACCGGATGGTTTCAAATTGTATTTATTGTAGGATACGTGTCAATACACTATTGGTGAATAAGTGTGGATGACTCTATAAGTCGAGCCATCAGATGACTCCATAGCAAAACTGTTCCTCATAGAGATGAAAAATCATTTCCCTCTTATTATAGCTAATCAACCCTAGCTTATGTGAAAAATTGTTGTCACAATTGAATATCTTCATTAGAAAAGTATTTCACTAAAGGGAGAATTAATTAGGTTTTCCACAATGTAAACAATAAAAAATAATGATTAAAGTTAATATGATATACAAAAATTATTTCTGAGGCCATGTTTATTGGTGACATAACCATTGGGTCACCAGCAAACTGACAGAAACAGAAAAAAAAATCATAAAAAATATGTGACCCACGGGACAATGTGACCTTGGGTCACAACTGGTTGAAGAAGGAGGAATGGGACACTTCCAATTATTATTGGACAAGTGTATTTTTTGAATAAGATAAAAAAATATTAAAAATAAATAATAAAAATTATTAAAATTTGTATTTTTTCATTCTCTATAAATAGAAACTACATTTGATATGTTTTGATACACTTTGCAATTTTTCTATTTGGGTAATTGTTGTGCAATTTTATTCGATGTGTTTGTAGCTTGTTTAATTAATTTCAATTTTTAACTGAGTTTGTAGTTTTTTTTATTTATATAGTGAAATGTTAATTTTTTGAAATCATTAAACTTTAATTACAATGTTTATTTAATTATTTTGTCACCACTAAAAGAATAATACAAATCAATTGTAAATAATACTTAAGAAATAAATAAATAAAAATAAAACAAATATTTAGGTCGGGTTAGGTTGAGAATAAATATAAGGTTGAGTTGTGCATGTTGATGATAGAGAAATAATTTTTAATTGTTAGACTGAGTTGTAGATAAACATGGTGCGGTCTAGTGATCGATTGTGAGGAAAAAGTGTGTAATATCAAGTAGAATCAAAGAGTTAATTAATTGAAAAGAGAAGGGATTTTTTTTTTGTTTCTTTTTTTTCTTGCATTCAAAATAATTGATTTTTGTCACTTTGTTTTATAATGTATTAAAAGTGTGATAATTTTTCTTAATGCATATGAAATTAACAGTTTATCTCTTGAAGTTTTATACCCTAATAATTACAACCGGCTGACAACCGGAATAGGAGCTGCTCAGGGAGGCCAGTCCAGATGCCACAACACACACTACAACACAATAAGAAAAATAAAGACTCCCCACAGGAGAATGACGCTATCTCCCCACAGTAGAATGACTCAACTTCCCACAGGAGAATAATACGTTTCTCCAAAGGAGAAGAAAACAAAACACAGTCCACAAACAAATAAACACACCAAACAATAACAAAACACCACAAAACACAAACACAAAGAAAAAAAGATAAAGCCCTTCTCACGGCCTGGAACACGCTAAGCAATCACGACAATAATACCAATGGCCGACCACCCATACGAACCAGAACTCGCCCCAGACCCCAACACCAGAAACTGAAACTTAAGCACCTAACTGAAGTTAGACCCTAGAACTTGACCCTGCACCCGAGCAGTCGACCCCACCCTCAGCCGGAGGAAACTGAACCAAATCCCATTTCACCACCTTCGCCCCGAGCTCTGCCCACACCACGGACCAGGGTTCGTCGCGCCAGCAACACCCTCGACCTGCACACCAGAGGCCAAAGGAAAACAGGGGAAGAGTAAAATCTCCTCTACTCCGACTGGCCCCCACAATTCGGCCGTCGAAGCCACAACCCTTCCCATCAGAAGCACCGACGTCCTCCATAGCTTCGCCACCCAGGAGATTGACGGACCACCAGCTTGAAGAGGCAGCCGGGCAAGATGGCTAAACCTCTTGGACCGTCCCTCACCCCGCAGGCTCGAGCGAACGAACAACGACACCACCGAGAGAGAGTCGTGCAGCCATGGGTCAGCTACTGTCGAAACGGCCGGCGTCTCACCGGAGAAGGCGGACAATCGTGGATCTAGGGCAAGGAGATTTGGGGATTTTGTTTTTGAGGAGAGAGAAAAAAAGTTTACTAATTCTACTTCATATATCCAATTACAAAAAATTCTAACTGAATTAAAGATAAAGTTTGAATCAAATTGAAAAGTTGATATAGCGCTTTAATTGATGGAAAATGAACAAAAAGAGGTATGATCCCATTTTATTTTAGACTTTTTATGTTGCTTAATAAGCATATGCATTCAATCTACATTTATGTATATGTTACCATTTTACCATCACCATTTATTATGAAACAATAAATATATTGCTAAATAAAAAGCTAACATACTAAAAAAACTACTTAAGTAACTAGGAGAGTGTATTACTTTAGAATTTCTAAAGATTTGTCAGACTTAAGAAATATTGGTTTGTTTAATTTAGGCTTCTAAGACTTTTTAAAAATTTTAAGTCTTGACTTATTCATTTGAGATTTTAAAAAGTCTTACAAAATCGTAAAGTATTTAACTTAATTGAGATTATGATTTGTCAAGACTTTTAAAATTTGTTGTCATTTCAAAAGAATATATATATATATATATATATATATATATATGAAACTACATTCCAAATCCCACCTCTAAACTTAAGATTTCATATGATTTCTTCTCAATCTATAAATTTTAAAAAATCTCAAATCTCAAGATCTAAAAATGTTACTACAAATCTCAAAAGAATACATCTGCCTAAATCTAATAGCTAAAAAAGTTGTAGGAGAACTGCACATGACAACCTAAATCTACATACAAACACTAAAACTAAAATAAAAACTAACTAAAGAATCAAAAACTTCAATAATGCAGAGTGACGAACACACACACACACACACATACACACACACAGCACCACAATGATCTGAAAACAACTTCCCAAGACGAGAAGGGCCACAATTAAGGTTCTGAACTCTAAAAAACTCTAAAATTCTTAGGCTTAATCAGCTTAAGATTGATCAGCTCTATTAAATTCGTTATGCTAAACTGACTAACAAATTCTTATATGGTTTACAATACAGAACTTATTGAAGGGGCAACCGCATGAGCCATATAATTGGATGATTTTTATGTGAACAGTTGATATAATTAAATGCATACGGCCATGAGTATAGCTGGTGAAGATTGAATAAATATACACATCAATTTCGCAAAACGCTGCCGCATAATAAATTTACACCATGGAATGGGATATACTTTGTTTTCTTATTATGTACGTTGGCATATTTGATGCCTCTTGATTCTTATGACTTTTCATCTTCAAACCAACCCCACCATCAATAACCCTCATAATTTTCAGCCTTACTATATTATATTATATATAAAATGAGAAAATAAAAAAGACCATTCTTTATTTTTATTTTTATTTGAATGCCTCATCGTTATCCAAATGACATCATTGCCCTTATTCCGTTGTTAGAATCATGAAACGCCCCTCTATAAATTGCTGTCCCTCTTATTTTAGTTTGTCCACTTTTAAACAGCACAAGTGAAGATTGAAGAAGATGGTCAGGATAAATTCTCTTACAATTATAACCCTCCTCCTATGTTTGATGCTGACCCGTGCCATAGCCCGGCCCAGCCCGACTTTCAACAAGGCTCAAATGGAAACTCCTTCCACGGTGAGTCCTTTATGCTTATGTACTTATGATCTTCTAATGTTATAATGTTTATTTATTTTTTTTTAAATTAGGATCAATATTATGAAGTGGAGAAGATAAAAATAGAAGAAGGTAGCTTATCATGTGGTGGAGGTGAGGAAGATGAATGCATGAGGAGATCACTTCAAGCTCATCTTGATTATATCTACACACAGAGCCATAAGCAGCCATGACAAATATGTTTTTCTGTTTTGTTTTTTCACGTGTTTAATTTTAAGCATTTTGATTATATTTTGTACGAATTAAGCAGAGGCATATGTTATTTAGTTATTTTGTTACGTACCTTGTTTTATTATCTTCTCTTAGGTTCTTTCTTTTGTCTTTCTCTGAAATATGTAAAAGATAACTTGCACATTAATAATTTAGTATTTGTGCCAAAAATTTACTCCTATTATTTAATACGTAAATATTTAGTAGAAAACTTAATAATAATAACTTGATTTTTTTTCTTTTTTGTCATAACAATTTTCAATATTTTCTATTTAACTTATAAGTTCGAACCCCACCATGTCTAAATCTGGATTTGTGAACTGGTTTTAGAAGGCGCTTCAAGGGTTAATATTGCTTAATGGTCAAGAAGGAAAATTAATGGGAAATGGGAAAAGTCAATAATGTAATGCTTAATGATATTGAAAAAGCATTGACATTTAATCATTGCCATAAGCCATTTGATCTTGATT